AGTGATTGATACTTTTATCATTTTGTTTTTTTAAAGTAAAAATATTATCTCCATTTTTACAAATAAGAAAATCTGCACGATTATTTTTATGAAAATCATTTTGCTTGATATCTACCCACCAACTAAAAAATTTACAATTTCTTTTATAACAACTTATAAAAAATCTTCCCACTTTTTCAGTTTGTTTTCTTACATATCTTAATTTTGCTCTACTATTGCAGTTACACAAAATACTATGGGGAGAAAGTACTGTTTCAAAATTATTATAATAAATGCAAAAAATATTTTCTTCTGTCTTTTTATATTCTTTGTATTGTTTGAAGAAAAAAAAATAATTTTTTAAATATTTAAGTATGGGAAATATATTTTGATAACAACGACGATTAATCAAAAAAAATGATTCGATGTTGGTACATCTTTTCATGATCATTAAGTTTAATTCTGGTATGTTAAAAACTCTTTATGCTGCCATTTTTATTTTAAGAATTTTTAAGTTGAGTTGTTTAAATATATATTTTTTTTAATAAATTTGTTAAAAATAAATTTGATAATGGTCACTTATTTAATCTAATTAAAATTATTAATCTATACCAAATTCGGATTTTATGAATATGGTAGTTCATTGTTTCAATGAACTACCATATTCGCATTTTACAAATTTGGAACGACAATGAGTCTTGTGATTTCCATTTTCGTAAAATACGAATTTGGAAATAATTAATTATTTGATAAATCACCAAATTTGGATTTTACGAATTTGGAATTAATTAATAATTCAATCGAATGTTTACGAATTTGGAAAAAATTAATTATTCTGACAGTTCATCTTGCAGAAAAAAACTTAGAAAAAATTTGATACAAACTATTTCTCAGCTATAAAAGTTGGGCTTTTCACCTTATGAAACAGCATCGAATCTCAAGATTTGATAATGAATACAAAAGTTCTTCGAACTGTTATTCAGAAATAATAATCTAAATTATTTTACAATAATTAATAAATTATTATTTCAAAATGTCTATTACGAGAGATGTATGAACGAATTTCTCGAAATATTCTCTATTGCGATGGAAAGTATTTCATAAATCATTCGTGACTCGTAATAGCATTTTTTGGCGAAATATCGATTTTTCATGGTCATATGTTATTAAATATGACAAACATAATTCGAAAGAAAAATTTGATATGCTGCAACAATCTTCACACATTCCTTTTAACGAATTTTTTATTTGTAAATGTGGATCAGATAAAACAAATTGGCAAAAAGAAGCATATCGACAAGAGTTTCAACCTCATCTATAGTATTATGATAAACGTCATCAGAGATCTTCTTGTCTATTTCGATGCAGATGTGATTATTTTAAGCTTCTTCAATCTGTCAATAAATCTCTTCCTAAGAATGAACGTTTAATCAACATGAATAAGAAAGGTTCTTTGATGAAAATTAAAAAGATATTTTGTACTATAAAATTAGATTACGATATATATCTTTGGGTTAAAAATCTTAATGATACAACATCTACCATCTATAAACAAGAGAGTGAATTACTTCAAAATTTTAAGAAATCTATTTTTAAACAAGCAAAAAAAAAGAAAATAAATATATCTGAAATTAAACCAATTGTTGAAACACGTTTAACTGCTCTTAATCAATCTCCAGAATATTATCCTCAATCTCCAAATTTCTGTTCAGTATAAATATACCGAACAGAAAATTTTCTGTTCATCTTTTTTTTCATTAACATAACTAAAAATAGATTCTCAATTATCTTATTATTTTAATCTATTAATTTCTGCCGTTATCAATTTTCTTATTTCAATTAATAACATATATTTTTAATATCATTCTCATTCAACATCTTCCCCAAATTTAATCGATATTGATATTGAACAACCTCTAAATTATATGCCAAGACACGAATCTATTAATGATTTTCTTAAAAAGAATCGAACTATAAATAAATATGAATTTTTCTTAAAAGGAAATGAAATTTGATTGTGTCAATATGAAATATCAATATATTCGTGGTCTTAATGGTGGATCTTGTTGGAATTGTTATAACTCTTATTCACATGAATGTTGTACAGCATGTAAAAAAATATTTTTACAATGTCGATGTGTTTATATATGTGGATACACATTTCCTACCGGTCAACAAAATAAAAATGGTATATATACTCAATTCAAAAAGTGTAAATATTATATATCAGATATTAATAATATTGAACATGATTGTTTGGGTGTTGTAAAGAATAATGAACATGTGACATTATTTATTAATAAACAAGATGTTCAAAATTTTTCTATTAAATGTTGTTAATTTTTTATTTTTATATTATTCTTTTTTTTTAATAAATAATAAATAAACATATTATCCGATTAGTGTTATTTGCATCAATCGGAAAAATAAATTCGTAAAATGTCTTCCTTATGCTTACGCGTTTTGGAGAATAATTACAATTTTGTATTCGTACAAAATCTTAATAATTTTGAATTAGCACAAAAGTTTAACGAAAAATATTTTATTCATTTACAAAAAATATATAAGTCAAAAAATCAAAAAATTAATTTGACGCGAATTGATTCTGTGGAAAAAATTCAATATCTATTATATTTGTTTACTTTATTATATCGAAAACATATTTTACCAACAATCTACGAAATTTCCGATTATTAGTATAAGTATATATTTTTTCTAATCTGTCAAACAAAATGACCGATTAGTTCATTATTTATTCAATAACGATGACATTTAATATTGCTATTGACGGTCTGACCACCACTGGAAAAACTTCTATTGGCTATTCTTTAGCAAAACGATTAAATTTTAATTTTATTGATTCTGGTTTATTTTATCACTATTTAGCTTACTACAATATTAATTCGACAAATTTTAATCAACATACTTACAATACTCTAATTAATTGTTCCAACTCTAATACATTTTCTTCCCTTGATATTTCTCAAAAAGCGTCTGAACTTTCAAAAGATGAAGAAATACGTTCGTTAATTAATCAAGAAATCAAGAAATTAACAAAAGAAAAGAGATTTGTTGTAGTTGGACGTGATATAACAACCAATATTCTTCCTGATGCAGAATTTAAAATTTTGTTATCAGCTGATTTTGAGACGCGTTTTGGTCGACGTGTGATGCAATTAGTTGAAGAAAATCCTCAAAATATTTTATATGACATCATTACACATGATAATGACTCTAAATCTTTAATCAATTGTTTAAAAAAGGTTTCAAAAGAAATTAACACGTTAGATCTTGAAACTTTCGAAGTCATAGAAAAAATTTTACAAATAATCAAAAAGAAAAATTCTTTTAAAAATTTTTTAAATTTTTTTTTGTTTTCATGTTATTTTTATTATCATTTTTATTAAACCAATACTCTGATTAGTGCTTTTGCACCAATCAGAAATTTAACTACGTAACAATCTTTAAAATATGTCTACTTCTACTTCTCCTTCTACTTCTGCTTTAGTCAAACGAACATTCGATCAAGTCGAAGAACTCTCTACTGTGATAATAACAATTAAAAAAGATTACAATTATTATCTCGAATTAACAAATTGGCAACTCAATACCGAAGTTGATAATGATGCATATGTTGAGGCATTTTCTCTTCTTTCGGATCGTATTAAATTTATAGAAAATTTAAAGAATTTTTATAAAGCAAGAAAAACTGTTTTTTCTCGTATCGAAAGAATTCTTCCTAAAAAAAAAGATCATGAATCGTTCAATGATATTCAAGAATAGCGAACTACCATATTGCAAGGTCCTAAATATGGTGCAAAAATTGCTCTTGATAAGTTAGAGCGTTATGAGAAAAAATTGAACGGTGTCAACAAAAAAAAAGAAAACAAATTAAATTAAATTATTCATCTTATCTTCTTTTAAATTCATCAAATATTTTTATTATTAAATTATTCATCTTATCTTCTTTTAAATTCATCAATTATTTTTTCATATTTTTATTATTATTAAATAAAAATTCTGATTAGTACATCTGTATCGATTAGAAATTTAACTATATAAAAACAAAATGAAGCTAATCTTCAACAAATAAAACATTCAAAATTTCAATATAATTTTTTCACAATACAAATTTCAATAAAAAATAAATCCATTTTAATTTGTAAAAGTTTACGTATCAAAAATCAGATAAATTACTCTGATACATGTCTATATATCAGATCATCTTTTGTGTCTGTTCTATATTATTGCACATACTGTAATCATTTTCGAAAGATAAATTTTTGCAAACGTTGTAAAAAATCTATCGATAATAATTTTGATTCTGAATCTTACAAATCTACAACATTATCTTCAATAACAATAATAACTGAAGAATCTCAAAAATCTCTTAAAAACAAAGGAATTTTTGACGATGTTATTAAAAAATATTCTGCAAAATATATTACATCTCAATCTGGAACAGTAGAAAATGATAATATCTTTTGGTCTGACAATGAAATGCAAATGGATGATAGTGACAACGAATTTATTATTTAAATATTTTAATTATTTTTATTTTTTTTTTGTATATTATTATTTTTTATTCTGTTCAGTATAAATATACTGAACAGAAAATTTTTTGTTCATCTTTTTTTTTTGTAAAAATGGAATCAGAATACAGATTACTTCTTAGCAATTATTCTCTCACTTGTAAGCTTGAAGAAAAATATCTTGTGGCTTTATCTCATCTTACCTTAGTAGAAAAATATAGCATTCCCGTTAAAGAAACGAAAAATGCAATTGAAACTCAACTTATTATTCAATCAAATTTGAAAAAAAAATATAAAGAAATGATTACATCTTACGAAATCGATAGCCGAGAATTTTCTTTGATTGTACCAATAACTTCAAAAAAGCAAATTCCTATCAGCAAAAGAATTAATCCTAATAAAAATTATTTTGATTATTATAATATACCAACTGGAAAAAAAGAAAGAGATGAAATATATGACGAATATGCGATACGTGAAATAAAGGAAGAAACCGGAATAACTATTTAAGAATTGTTTTATGTTGGAACAAATGAAAGGTTTAGAGTTTTTCCGGATAGAAAAGAATGTCTATATCGTTGCGCTGTATATTATACCTATATTGATGAACAGATTCCAATTCGAACTAAACCCGATAAGCATGATGATTGGATTTTTGTAGATCCAAAAGATCTTTCTAAATATAAATTAACCAATACTCTATCTCTCTTCCTTCCATCTATAATAGAAATTATAAACAAAAAATTTAGAAATATCAATCGAAAAAAATGTAAAATTTCTTCTTCTTCTGAAGAAATTTCTGAAAATATTGTAAAATCACCTGAACCTGTTGTTTTAAACGGAATTGACAACACGTCTCCAATTGACACCTCTTCTGAATCATAATTTTTTTAGAATCATTAATTCATTATTTATTAATATATATTTTATTTTTTTTTATAAATTTATTTAATTTTCTGTTCTGTATGTCAATATACCGAACAGACTTTTATTTGTGTAAATGTCTTCTGACTGGCAAGAAAAATTCAAAAATTTCGAAATCATTACTGATTGGGAAAGGTACAAAAATCCTGATAACTCAAGACGAAAATTGAACAAATATCATCTTATCAAGATCGATTTCAAACTCTATCTTGAGGTCAAAGTATCAAATTCAGATTTAACATTTCTAACTGATCTAGATAATTTTAATTTAATTCGAAAATATACGTGGTATTCTTGGAAGCATAGAAATACTTATTATATTTCTACAACTATACAAAATGCAACAAAAAAAATTCTTCATAGAATGATTCATCCAGAATGGAAAATGACAGATTATATCAATCGCAATAGACTTGACAATCGTAAGTGCAATCTTAGAGAGACAACACTGAGAAAAAATGCATTAAATCATAAGTTACAAAAAAATAATTCCTCGAATTATAATGGAATTTATTATTGTAAAACATTGAAAAGTTGGAGGTTTAGTTACAATGAAAATAATAAGCAAAAAACAAAATAGTTTTACATTAATAAGAAACGAACAAATGAACAAGCGAAACAACAATATATAGATTTTAAACTAGCTCATGATAAAATGACCGGAAATCTTAATGGTTATGTAATTCAATAAAATCTAATCTATTCTGTACAATAGTACAGAATAGAATTTTAATTATGTAATCATGACAACTACTAATATTATTCTCGAAACTCCAGAAAAAAAGGTAAGATGACCCTGTCATTTTACTTAGCATATATAAGATTCTGAAGCTACGCTGCCATACCGAATTAGGAAATATTTATGAATTCATCTCTTTTGATGGTGATGAATATTTCTATTAATTTGGGAGAAACTGAAAGAACTCGGGTCTTCTGCAAACATTGGTGAATAAGAATCTTT